AATGGCGAAAGAAAGTGACTTTCTTTCTCTACATCTCAATATCCCAAAAAGGTCATCAATTGGCGCACAGAAGAGTTCTCTTTATACAAAGAAAAGGACTCTGAAAAGGGACTTTTCAATATATCGTTTCATGAAAAGCAAAGTCATCACATGAGGCGGAAAAATCTTCAGTCAACCAAACACAAGAGTCACAGAGAAGAAGCCAAATAATTGCAATTAAAAGTTGCACTATATCATATCACTTTCTGATTTATAACCATGTGTTCGCCTCTCGTGCTCGCGGTTTTTTATTAACCTTGACGTCGTCGTTGAGCATGGAACAAGTGAGAATTTCATTGAACTCTCTCATATTTTATTTTACACTTTTTGTACCAGCAGCACAATTCAGTAGGAAAAAAAACAGGCAAAAGACTAAACAGAGAAACAAAAAAGTGGCGGAAAAATAGCAAATTGAGGCTCCAATGTCAACCAGAAGTCGTGAAACTTCATCCTTTCATTGTTGAGTATGTTTGGCTAACGTCTTTTCAATGGCTGAAATCCACATTCTTTGACCATAATATAATACCGAAAGGGAAATTAATGAGGGTTATAATTGAAAATGTCGCGTATTCAATTCCACCCAGGAAAATTACCTGCAGAAGTGAGTAGCAAATTTGTTGAAAGTAATTTTGCCACAACTTTGGCACTTCTCATGACATTTGGCAGTGAGAGAGCTTCGAAAACTTTGTTGTAAATAAGCTCACAGCTTTTATATAAACACACACACACACACACACATAGAAAATTAGCGCAATGTAAATTACTTTGGCCAATTCTCGCTCTTTTATTATCCACCTAATGTCGTCATCAAGCCAAAGAGAGCTTCTCAGTCTCGAGCGGCATTGTTGATGTTGAGTCATCTGAAAATCTCATACGATGAATTCCCCAACTTCACATCCACACCAGAGACAGAGACTTACATTGTCGATTCTGTGCAAAATAGACTAAGAAAAACAATCACGTTCTCTTCTACCATCTTGTCACTCCCGCGGCAACATGACAAGAGACACAATCCACACGCTGTTCTTCTTCTGTGTGTCAGGCAAATTCATTACACCCATTGTTTGTTTATTTCACCAATTCAGAACGACAATATTTAGTAAATTCATATCATGGCAATTTTGCACATAACAAACATCAGAGAGTGAGAAAGAGAAAAAGGACATTTTATCACCCTTTCACTATATAGATTTACCCCAAAACTTTAAATATCCCGTAACTTAACTTCCAGCTCATTCACACAAGACGAACTTTTCCATCTCGACAACTTTTCACCCCATATCAAACTTCAGATTTATAGTGCCATTTTGTCATATCAAATGAAGAAGAGTCGAATTGCTGATCAAATGTTGATTCAATCTTTCCACTCGCACGCTTTATTCGCCGCATTTAACTACACCACAACTTTCTTCAGCTTGCCACTCGGCGAAATGTAGGAAATCATGTCGATTGGACTTCTCAGAACACCAGTAAATAAGCAAGCAAAGCAGATTAATTATATAAATTCAAGGACAACCATTTTTTTGCGGTGACCATTGAATTCCATCATGTTTGGTATATAACATTCAGTATAAAACATATTAGAGCACTTGAGATAACACAAAATACAATCACCCATTTTCACAGCATGACTAATCAATACTTGCCAGAACATTTTTCCCACCCAGAATTTACAGAAAGTATAAGTTTTTCTTATGAAAACCCCTTCTTTTCTTAGCAATTTGTCACTTTTCCGCTCTAGATATACTCAAGATCCTTCATTAAATGCAATCTATCACGCTCAACTGGGCAAAGTAGTTCAAATTGCGCAATTTTCGTCCATTAAAACACATCCAAAAGAAATTTCCATAAATTTTCATAACGACTCCATTTTTTTCGTTTGTTTTGACGCATTTTTATCAATCACGAGCCATGAAATTGCACAGTTAAGATATGTGTACCTCTGTTACATTTTTTTCCCACCTCATTTTTTCTTCTCTTCCATTGAATGCAAACTTCTCAAGAGACAACAATATAATAAGAGTGATTGTATAACTAGAGAATTTACGTCTTTCTTTTATCACAAGCCGCAAACATTCTTTTTATTGATCATTGACGGCATTATCTTGTGAATTTTCCGCATTTTATTCTCTGTTTTCCTCTCAATGCTGCTTCTCTTAAAGAGATAAGTGACGAAGAAAATAGCGACGAATAGGGTCAATTTGGGCTGAACTATGGAAGTCTTAAAAAAAGAAGTTAGATCGAAATGTCTATTTTCGTACTGTATAGCAAAGTCATTTAATCAATCAATAAAATAAACACATTAATCATTGATAGATTTAAATAAAAGAGACAATTTTTCTTCTTCAAGAAAATCCTTCTCTTCCCTACAACACACAACACAAGATAAACTCCCTGTGTTCTCATTTCTCTACTGACGTTCATCATTTTATCAAATAAAACCGTGTTTTCCTTTCATCTTCAGTATGTTCTATTAAAATGCTCACTTTGCACTTTTTCCCAATACAAATATATACACATAATTTTGAAGTATTTTCGGCCGATCGTCTCTCTTCCCTTCGTCTCTATGTCGCCATGAAGAGTTAACAGATTTGCCTCTTCTTTTTCTGGGTCATTCAACTCACCACACCAGTCGTCTTATGTCAACTAAAAACTGTTTTTCAGTGTTAAAGCATTTTCATGTGCCTCATTTCCATACTTTATATACACACCAAAGCACTCTTTAGCACATAACGTGAGTCAAAATGTCTACGGATTTTTCAGACCGCAGGGAAAAAGTGAGGGAACTTTTCAACAAGAGTGCATACAAAAGTGAAGTGTTGAATGTAGGCCAAATTGTAGCAATAATTCGACAGTTTTTTTTCTCCTTTTCTACAATTACTTCACTCTCTTTTTTTTCGTGTGGTTCTCACTGTTCTTTTACACCACGAAATTCCAGAAACAAATTCGAATATTATAGCAATGTGTGCAAAAATTAATTTCTTTTGTGCATGCAATTAAATTCCCCTTAGAATATAAATTCCCAGTCATCTTTATGCAAATCAAATTGCAATTTTGTGCCGAATAAAAAGTCCCTCAACAAAAGAGATTGATCACACATGGGAAATGAGTGAAAATTGTGGGTTTTTTTTTGTATAAATTTACATTTATGAACAATACGTGAGGAAAACAATAAAAATTTCATGAATAATATGAGCAATTTTCACTGAATGACAAACTATTTGTTTGGCAAATGCAATTAAAAATGTCATTCTTCTTCCGTGATGCTCTCATCGCTTTTAAATCTGAAGACCATTAAATAAATTCCCTCTTTTCCTACCCTCTAGACTAGACATTAAACAACCTGTTGGCGGGTGAATAGAACCATTTCTTTTCTAATTAAATTACATGGAAAACATCTATTGTCAAATCCATGGTATGCCATTTTTTTTAAATCCCTCCAGAATAGCACAAAAGGCATAAAAAGAGTCTGCAGCATGACTTTGCCACCCTTCGCAAAGCACAAACACACACACATTAAGTGGATTAGAAAAATTCCTCCATAAAAACAATTCGCGGAGGGTTTTCGTGTCAATTGCCCCGCGCAAGGAGGACGCTTGGCGTGGCACAGAGTCGGGGTGGAAAGTATAACAAAAATAGGTTAAACACAGTTAAGCAATTAGGAATGAAATTCATTCCGCAAGCTGTTGCGAAGGTTTTTCCCAGCCACAAGAAAAGCAGAGAGGATAACAACGAGATAAGCTATCCTCAATCTTTATGCGTCATTTTTGCTCTTTTGCCACCACTTTTCGCCTCTCGCATCGTGAGTTATTCAATTTCCTGTAAGCGCACAAGCAACAATGGTATTAAAAACACAGTGCAGAAGAAGACACGCATATTTTGAGAGGAGATTTTGCAATGTAACCTTCATTGTTCAGTGATTTTACGATAGAAATCTTGGATGAAAAAAAAAATCTCAAGAATATAGTTTTAAGTGTTTACACAATATTTCATTATAGTTCATCATTAGTCCACCATTCCGACAAGCACTCAACTCTCGCATCCTAATCGAATTTCTTGTCTATCCCCAATCCTCCTGAGACTGTCCCTCAATCTGGCCAATTGAATTTAATCAGTTTCTCTCCATGTTTTCTCTCTCGCTCTCTCACTTTCCAGGGCGAGAGTTTCGGAAAGGAGGACAAACAGAATTTCGGCAGAATTGACCCAAAAACTCCCCGAAATGACACACACACACTCACATGCACGGCACTTCTCTCCCTCTCGCCTGAGCCTCTCAGAGTTGTCGATTCTTGTTGGCAAAGTAGATTTCCCAGAGAAGCCACTTAACTGATTAGGCATTTTACCTTTCCATCCCAATGGCAAACAGATGAATGAGGGGCCGAAGAACAATGGAGAAGCACATCAAATATTATCACCAATATTTAATGAGTCTCTCTCTCTCTGTCTCTTATTCACTTACAAGCCACCCTCTTCATCGTCTTAATCAATTAGAATTTTCGCCCTGTGCCTTATTAATGACGTCCCATACTCGAGGACTCGCAAACAATGTGCAAAATTGCCGCGGTCAAAGAGATGAAAAGCATTTTCACTCGTTTTCTATACAATTTACAATTGCTTCGTTGCAAAATGCGAGACAAACACATGAAATTCAAGTTGAATTTCATGATCAAATGGGCATATTTTGTGTGTACTTTTGCTTTTTTGCAGAGAAATCGTTGTGAAATTCACAAGTTTTCCCGTGTTTTCTACGAAATACGCATTGACCATCACTCGGCAGATGAATATTATTTTTCTTCTGAGGTCGTCACTGAAGGCAAAAGCTTTTTTTTGTGAAGTTCAGAGATGTCAATCCGGCCTTCTTGCAAGCAACACGCGACGGCACAGGTAAGGAATAATTGAATTTTCTCCCTGTCACACATACACACGCACACATGATTAAGTAATTTCCATGCATAACTCACCACTTGCGATGAATGGCACGATCAACAGGAGCAGTATTAATCCACATTTCAGTGACATTTTCCACTCGGGAAGAGAATCCTCGATGGGCAGCCCTAATCCTCTGCAATGTGCGGCGAATCGCGTGGAAAATGAAAAGAGCCAACTAAACAATACACTGACCACGAGAATTTCATGTATGAACCAAAGAAAAAAGTGTCTCTCTCTCGAGCTTGCTTCCTACTGGGCCAGAAGCACCATGTCTCGCGAGATTTCTCTTTCACTATCACATCACACTGGCTTCACTTCTCGTGTGCGCCTCCGCTGGGGCTCTCCTGGGGGCTGATCGTTTCCGTCTCTCTCGGGGCTCAATTGCGGCCCATTTCACGCACCTTCGGCTGACACGCGGACATTAGTTTGGGATGTGCGAGCAGTGGAATTTCCTGGAGTGCCGCGAGAGGCCTTTGTCTGGAAAAGGAAGAGACTGCGATATGGCGCATGTCACCATTTATCCTCACTGGCTGACGTCTCAGTCGCCCTGCCGCGGATTGTTGCGCCCCTGCACTGTTGCTGCCCTCGCGAGTGCGTCTGGATGGCTCCTGGCCACCAACGCCAAGCGCCAGCCCGAGATCAGCTGTTTCTGTTTGTAAACACACAGCCACTGAGGACACTTGGAGGACGACTCCGCGGCGAGGGGGTGGGAAGTGTCCTCCGAGCAGGACGACAGCGCCTTCCAGTGCAAAATGGCAGCACCACAAACCACCCCAAGAACACAGAGACAAAGAGCCTCTCACTCGCCACGCTCAGGACTCCCCCGGGGGACGCTCCCCAACCGGATAAATCCAGTGTATTGCAATTATTTTGCAATCACCACGCAGTGGCGTGCAAGAAACAAGATGTCGTTTTGGGGGCGCCCCTGTGCCTGTATTGATTGCAGCGCTCCAGCAAATTCCAGCTCACTTTTCGTCCCAATTCACACCCAATTCGGCCACTTGGTGCACGGCAAACCCTCCTCGGTCACTCACTGTGGGTGCTGGCAGTGCGCTGGGGCGCTTTGGGGTGGTGAAACATGGGTTTTCGCCCAGGTTTTGCCAAGGAAAAACTGTACTCACAACACAAATCCACCTTCTGAAATGTCTCCGCGATGACTGAGACTGGAAAGGCTGGAACGTCTTCACCACACTGAAGAATCAACGCTGTTGGCACACCCTTCAAAACACCCGTTCGTACACTGCAAATGGCAGTGATATGATCGAAAAGAGACACGAAGAGTTCGAAAGATCCACAAACCGCTCAAGTATTTGATGAATAATAAAGAAAACACACTGATATTATTTCATTGAAAATGGTTTTTTGCGATATATTTCGTACACTGTTGTGAAATAAAGTGTGATATTCCTCGACAAATTCAGCGTGGTCAGAACTGGAAAATCGTGGAATGACAGTGGTGAATTTGGCGCCAGAATAAGACAACCAGATATGACAGAGCGAGAGAGCCAATTGTTCTTGCCTCAACCGTTCTCAATCGAAGCCCCTGCAAGTATGCAAAACTCACCTTCAACTCATTTTCCCATAAAATCAGCAGAAAAATCCTTTTAATTACTCTTTTATTCACTGAATGCTTTCTCATCATCCTCCTCAATATATATATATAAATACTACAGCACATTCACATTATAATAAATTATCGATTACAGTCCTATATATACAACATTCTGGGAGTGATTCTCTTTTCTTTTATTCTGTTGCGTGGGAAGAAAACAAGTGAAAAATCAAGCGGAATTTGTCTTGCAAATCTTTTGGGCCAAGTGTGCACTAAATTGTCCTAAAAAAAAATTAATATCTCAATTGCTAGCAATACTCATCGTAAATGGTCTCTTATTAACGATCTAAATTTTCTCTCTTTCGTTTCCGATAAAATTGAGGGGCATTATCATTACTTGCAATTTGCATGCTAAAACCTACGCAATTACGGCTAATTTTACACATCCTTTATCATTTTTGTCAACACTATTGAGAGACATCTAAAGTGGTTGATATTAACTGGGTCACAATCTCTCATGCGAGAGTGTTCTTCTTTGCGCTCCCCAGAGAAGTTTGCTCAGTGATGTGCTCTTCCTTCGCTCTCTTAAGTCACATTATTTTCATCAGGCGGAAAGTTTATACTTGGGAACGAATGATTTGGGAATTTTCTTCTCTAAAGCAGATAAATATCCTTATTTTGGAACAACTCTAATTAATCAATCTGCGAAATTCTCTAATACTGAATTTTTCTATGGGATTTTCTCTTAACTCTCTTCTAAAATATGTAATGCCTTTGACTCTCTTTCTCTTAAGTATCCTTAAATATCAATTGGGAAATTTCGCGAAGAAGCTCATCACCGGCGAGAGATAGCATGTCATCCTTTTAAAATAAGAGGGACAGGAAAAAGGTGATCACAAAGGACAGCTCCTGAGTATGGAGGAGCTCTAAATGACGCTCGAGGGCAGCTTCTCGAATGCCTGGCCGAACGTCTCGCGTCGCCTGGACAGCGTTCCCGCCGGCACTTGCGCATCCGGACAGCCCAGGCCGACGAGTAGCTCCACGAGCGCCGTCGTGGCTTCCAAGGAGTACTGGTGATGGTGCTGCACACCGCTGCTGTTCGCCTTCACGGACGTCGCCGCGACTGCGAGCGCTTCCCGAGCGTGTGTCAGGCACGTGCGGCCATCCTGGTCGAGCTGCTTGATGTTGGCATTGTGCTGAAGAAGGCAAACATTAATCAATGTGTCTTGGAACTCACACATTGCATGCAGGCAATAGTCACCCATATCAGAAGCTGCGAAATGGCCAGACTTCCCACGCCGCAGGCGACATGAAGAGGTGTCCGGAGGTCTCTGGCATTCAGCGGTGCATTGATCTGCTCAGGAGTCGCATGAGCCAGCAAGAGGATGATATTCCTCATGTCCGGCCTGAAGATAGCCTCAGTGAGTTGCTGCGCCACATGTCCCGCCTGCGGCGCCGGCGGCAGAAAGTCCTTGGCCTCGTACTTGCTCCTGATCCACGCCTCCTTCTCCTCACGCGTAGACACCGGCCCGGGCTTCACTCTGCCGCGCGTCACGCTGGCCTCCCACACGGAATTGGCCAGGGAATTGCCCACGGCCAGCATCACGCTCAGATGTCCCGGCGGCCACTCGTCCAGGCCCAACGAACGCACTTTGCTGATATGAGAGCCGAGATTGCGGTGAACTCCAGAACACTCAATGCACATCACAACACCCAGATTGAGACTTGCCCACTCGGGATCTACACAGAAAGAGAGAGTGTGTCATTAATCATCCGGAGGGTCAGGAGGTCAGGGAATATCTTACTGGGAGCATCGCAATCCACACAGTGACTGTTTCCGGGCACTCGACTCCTCACCAGCTGCATAGAGGCCATGTCAGTGCTGCTGTTCTGCTTCGACTTGGTGGATTCGTTGCCCTGGAGCGTCTTGAAGATCTCCTGCTCAATGGCAGCCACCCACTCGTCCCTCTCCTCCGAGTTGGCGGCCTCAAAGTGCCACTGCTTGTTGCCCAGCGACACAATGTAGAACTCAAAGCCGTCGGAATCTGTTAAATATGATGGAGAACTTGTCACATCACGAGCACTCTTCATTCCTCCACATCCGCAACACTCACCGTCATACTCATTGTTCTTCACGCCGCTGCTTTTCATGCGCCTGTGCCGCTTCTTCACGTTCGGCGTCTGAGCCTCCACTTTGGCCGTGTCGTTGATGAAGGTCTGGCTGTTGCTGTTGCTCAGCGCGATACCCTCATCGCCACTCGTCTGGCTGTTGCTCTTCCCCGGCTCCTTGAGCGTGTCGTACGCCGTCAGGAGCACCTTCTCCTTCTTCTCCTTCGCCAGCGACAGCCCACCCAGGCTGTCAGTCAGCCCATTCGCGTGCGCCTTGATCGCCGTGAGGGCACTGTTGGTGATGATGGACTTGGAGCCGCGCGGCTTCTGCCCAGGCACCTTCACGGTCACCAGCTGCAGCTGAATCTCCTTCCCATGCACATCGTCCATATAATCGTGCAGGGAGGGATGATACGTCAGCCGCCCATCGTCGCACAGCGTCACGTACTTCTTCTTCCACTCCTTGTTCAACGATTTGCTGCTGCGCTTGTACAAGTAGCCCTGCTTCAGCGGAATCGCGCGGCCGCTGCCCAACTCGCCGCCGTTCTTCAGCTTCTCGTCGCTCTTCTTCGACGATGGTATGAAGAGATTCGAGCGGCGTCTGCTCTTCCTGCTCGTCGTGGGCGTTGATGTGGGCGTCGGAAGCTCCTTCGGCGCCACATCCTTCACCACAGTGCCCGCCTGCAGCAGAAAATACCTTCGTTAGTGCTTCGTGAATGCAATTAAGGCTTATTCAATTCGTCAGAAGTAATAGAGTTAAGTGAGTCAAGGGTAAATTGAAGAATTTTGCAAAGATGTCCGCAAAAGTGACAAGTCAGATTATTTCTCAAAATTTACCGCTTCACAAATGATTAATTAATATTTTAAAATAACCAATTCAATTGTCTTTCAACTGATCAAAAATTGATAAAATTAGTGGTTTCTCAAAATGGTCGCCGATTTTCGCCATTGTGACTATATTTTGCAACGATTAATTCACCTGATGGAAGTTGTCCAGATCTCTGGTCACTGCTTGCGGAGCGAACTTGGTGATGTTGTTGTTCTCCGCGGCAATCGCCACGAGCGCCTGTTGTGACGATCCGTGCGAAATGGTGCCCCACTTGGCGTGATCCGCCACAGCGCCGTGCGCCACCAGATCGGCACTGATGCGAATGGGGATGTGATGACTGCTGGCGGACAGCGCGTGGTGGCGATGAGGCAGCGTCAGATTGCCGTGCGACGCAGAGATGTGACTCGGCGAGGCAGAACTTAGAGTGGCATTGCTCGCTGGACTGCCCGAAGAGGTGGTGAAGCCATTCGTGGGACTGCCGACGCCTCCGTGATAACTGGCAACGCCGAGACGCGTTCCCTGAGGCGTTGTGGGTCTCGAGTTAGTCGGTGTGATCGAGTGGGGCGCTTGAGGTCCGCCCAGTCGATGCTGCACAATCTTCTGACAAGCTGCAAGAGAAATAATGCCACATTCAAAAAATTTACCCAAATCAATATTAACACAAAGTATATCGAAAAACTCTACACACCATCGTGAAAGACACGCTCAACATTGAGTCCATAAGTTGCACAGGTTTCATAGTAGGAACACCATTTGAGGTCACTCGCCAATTTCCTGGCACGAACATCATCAATCACTCTGGGACTCCTCTCGCTGATCGCATCTGCAATTGCACACAGAATACACCAGTAACAAAGGCGCTCCTTTTCCTCCGCATCAGCGATTCTTTCTTACCTTGCGTCCCCACGAGTATGATGGGTATTTCTGAGCTATTCCTGAAGTGGGACATCTTCGTGAAGTAGTTGTAAACCGCATTAAAGCTCGCCTCGTTCTCCAAGCTGAAGACGAAGATTACAGCATCCACCCACGCTGCAAACTGTGTAAAAACCAATCAATTAATTACTTTCCAGCACGATTCCACCTTGATTCTATTCCCTCAATTTCTACTTTTTTCACTCGCCGGCCAGCCAATGCCTCTCACAATATTTCTGCATTCAACAGTTTTCTATAGAAAAATTACCCTCGAGCAATTCAATTCGAAACTCTCTTTCTCTCTCGCTTTACCACTAATGCGATTTATTCGGGATAAGAGACTTCTTTGGCTTAAATCTCAAAATGATCCACAACTTCGAAGCTTTCCTAAGGTTTCCTCACGACTAGAAATATTAATGTGAAACTCATTTTGCCGGTTTTCTCCCCTTCACGAGCTCTTGAACGCCTGCGCGGAATTTCAACCCTTTCATAGAATATAGTGCAGAAAATGCACATGAAGTGATTTTCTTGCCATCCTCCCTCGATAGACAGCATTTTCCACGTTCTCTTCGGAGGAAAGTGTGCGGAAAGGGAGAGAAGGCGAGAAGAGAAAATGTGCACAATACTGTCCTTATTGTGGCCTCACACAACTCAATCCAGAAGCGCTCCTTTTCAATATTTCAAATGCAAAATTCAACGCGCTTCTCGTGCTAAAATTACAGCAAACAGTGCAAAATTTCATGAAAAATTTCCTCAACAAGATGTTTAGAACTAATGTGAAAGATTCAGTAAATTTCACCCAATTACAAAACTCTAACGATTTACCAAAGCGAAAGGATGGAAAATTTCCTCTCTTTCTCTGCTGTTGTTTAGTTTTTTTTTCTTTCCTTTCCCTTCCCTCACAACAATTGCCTGTGTGGTGACTTTTTCCCTGGCAACACGACAAAACGATTCAATTCACTTAAAAGAGGGTTAAATTTTATCAAGAAAGTGCAGAGAAAACTTGTCGTCTCTTGAATGGTTCTTTCAAACTCTCTTTCCTCGCGTACAACCATCAACGTCTTGTCCAACAGCCAACGACAGATTTGAGAAGTAGCAAATTGCATTTGATTCCCTCCATTGTCACCATAATGTCTGGGCAGAGAAACTGACTTAATTTTTCCAATTGCTTCCTCGTTTTTTGCTCCTCTTCTTCATCCCTTCCACTTTTTTTCCTCCCTTTTACAAGGGGAAAATTGTCCTTCCTTGCATTTCATCTCGGATGAAAAGAGATAAAAAAGAGGGTGAAGACATGAGAAAGATGAGATGAAGAGCAGAGATTGCAAGCGGAGGAGTTTCCCATCTTCAATATATTGTATATCTCGGATTTTCCTCTATGTATGCATAAAGAAATCCACTATAATTGCTTTTTCATGTTGTGCTCGAATTCTTTTTTCATCCCCATTTTGCAAACCCTCTCGGATAGTGTCAGTGAGAGAGTGAGGCTGAATCGATTTCGCCTCATATTGTTTCAATGATATTCACAACATTTTGCAAAATTCATATTCAACACTTTTCCACTGCATACATTTACATAAAATTCCGCATTCACATACACTTTTTTTTTCTTTACTGTGCCACATTGGAAAAGCGGGAGAGCTTTAGTCAATATTTGAGGGAATAGAAAAACATTCAAGGAGAAAATATGACTCAACGAGAGCGGCTTCTTTTGCTGATCAATCCTCATCTCAACGTGAAGATTGTTTGATCAATTTACACTTGTGATTGTCTTAAGAACATCTTCTCTTGTTCTTTTTTTTCTTCTCTCATAATTCTCACATTTTCTGCGTCAATCGACACCATATAACGCTCGACACACAGTGCAAATCAACACTTTAAATCTTGTGCGCAGAAATCCCCCAAAATCCCTCTCAAATGATGTGAACACTTTTAAATACCAAAATAGGGAAGAAGAATTTATTGAGGCAGGAAAACAACCCTCGCAGGAACTTTTCCATACATATATTGTGATTTATGTTGAGGGTGTTGAGAGTCAATCACCCCATAATCCATATAGACATTGGGTGTGAAATGCATGAGAAAATCCCCTGCGGCATTCATTGCTCAAGAGCTTTATGCGATTTTCCTTCAAATTTACATCCGATCAGCTTATCTTTATGATTTTCGGCATTAGGGTTGCCAGACACTTTAAATATAGCCATCGATTGGTTCTAGCGGCAAAATCATATCACACGAGCACTTAAACTTTGATAACTCTCTGAAATACTACTTTCCTCAGGACATCAACAGCAACTTAATCTCCTCATATTTCATGCAATATCCTATGATGAAGAAAGGGCACAAACTGATAGAGCCGCAATGTAGAGGCAAATAACAACCAATTAATAATGAAAAAGTCCATTACAGAAATTCTCCACCCACAAAGGAAAATCATTTCCACCCTTCTCGAGACTGAAGTAAGCATGAAAAATATTATTTTTCCTCCCTTGTCATTAGTGGAAATCTTAATTTGCTTTTAATGAAAGTCACAAAGAGGAAATTGCCAGTTTCACACTCAATGGTTTTAACAACCTTCGCAAGAAATTCACCTATAACTTTTTATTTCATCTTCACTCTCTCCTCTTTTTGCTCCACCCAAACAGCTCACATTCTATTCCGTCATCCATGAATTCACACGAATAACTATTTTTCTGGTGTCTCTTCTCAGTGGGAAAGTGTATTTTTTTTTCCTTACATTCCCAATCCATTCGATATTTATGAGAATCATTCACAAATGTCCACAAGATGGGCATTGAGAAAATCCCCTTTTGGCCGTTGTGCACATTTTCCCTTCTGTTTCACTCCTCTTTCATTCCCATTTTTCCCAACAATTTTCACATCTCTCCATATGTATTAATAGAATTGCTCCTTTCGCAAAGCTCTCTGTGTGTTCTATCGAGAAAATGTCCTTATTTCTCTATCACATAAGAGACATTTTCATAAAGAAAATGATCAACTCAGGACTTCGTGAGTTCATCCCCAAAATGAGAAAGAAATGAGAGTGAATTCAAATACAAAGCCAAATACCATTTTAAATTCAACTTCGCTTTCATCTCTCCTGTTATACAAAATTAATCATCTCCCCTTATTTGACTTCTGTGATTGTGAGCTGAATAAATATAACAACCGCGCGAGGGTGTATTTTTGAGGGTTTCTTTCGCCACGCAACTCGCGGAAGCGCACAATGAAGGTGTTTTCATTTTTTTTTTTGAATGTGAAAAACTTTAACAATACATAATACCGACTAGCTACTGGATAAATGGCTCTGGATGGTATATTTCCAGGCCGCGAAAAAGGCAAACATTGAGGGGGCAATAGCTCATTTCTTTCACAGCCGCGACGCCATGGCGTCACACTGGCGCCAGCGGCTGACGTGTTTTCCGGCGTCCCGCGCGCCAATCATGCAGTCACGCACGCTCACCTGCATTTCAGGTGGGCCACCCTCGTCGCGGATCAGCAACAAATAGCTCTGGTTGTCGATGAACACCTCCTTCTTGAAGCGCCCACCCTCCGGCGACTCCTCCTGCATGTAGGATCCAGTGAGGTAGCGGTGCACCAAGGCGGACTTCCCGGAGCTCAGCGATCCCACAATGCCGAGCCGCAAGTCCGGTACAGACCTCGAGATTGTCCATTCCTGACTGTTGACGAATGAATCTGCGGAGAGAGAGAGAGAAGAACATCAGATTCACGTCGAAGCCACAATAGAGTTGAATATGTAGATAGATATGAGATAACAACAAATTTCCATACAAGAAAAACAATCTTATCTCGCATCTCCCATCACAGAATATAATCTCTTTCTTCTCTCAATTCACCTCTTCAGCTGCAGAGAACGATGAGAAATCAATGCGCGAGTCTGAGTTGCAATTTCATATTTCACATAAAATTGTATTTATTGTCCCTCTCACTCCATGTTAGGGCCTCTCGAGGAGCCTCAAAGACGAACTCGTTATACGTCTTTTAACATGTCAATCAAAATTCATTATTCTCTTCATATTCTACACGACCTCCTTTTCACCGCGCGCACATCATCTTCTCGTCAGACAACCAGCGACTCTGGCGAAAAATTGTGCGACACCATTAATTTGTAAATTATATACAAGAAAGAAGGGTTGAGCGTCTCACTGTTGTTAAGAGGTGCAAAATACACCGCCAAGTCAATTGTTATAAGGCGTTTCTCTCATGGCGCGAATGAGAACCACAAATTGATATTCAAAACCTCCCCTGAAGCGCGCGATTGACAATCTCCATGCCAGTTAATCAAGGTTTGTATTCAATATCCATGTCTCATTGTCACCCATTTTCCAGCCTCTTTGTCTTCTTTCATCTACACACAGTCTCAACTCTGTCCAAGTCAGTTATATTCATCTTCCCTTAAGAGAACATGCAAACATCCTGTCGCACCCTTTTTCCCCGTGTCCTTTTTTCCAACACTTACCAGCGCACGATTATTGTCTCAGATTTCAAGTTTAATGTAAACATCATTTACAGACAGCATTTGGTCATAGTGAAATGGCGAGGAGGTTAAGTGTTTGACACACATGGCAAATCAAGGATTTTGCACCACTTTAAATGCATCCAATCAATTTTTTTTTCCACAGACACACCAATTTTAATCAAATTTACGCAACATTCCTCAAGAGCACAACAAAAAAAAACCCCAAATTGGTGTAAAACCTCGTGATGATTTTGAAATTTCTCACATCAACACCCAATTTGATTGGAATTAAATTGATTGTTACACAAATTGATCATGCAGAACACAAAAAATACACATGAAAAACCTCCTCATTTGCCTAACATATATCTTCCTCTAATGAGTAACGCGCTGAGAACATTTGTGGAGTTGAAAGAAAAATTACCATCATGTATTCTGTCTTGTTTACAACCCAAGAAGATTGAGTAATTTTTAATTTCCACCAATTTGGGGATCTCATTTCCAGCACTGTCAAATGATAAATCACCAACCCTTTTCTTCTTCTTCCTCCTCACCCCGAATATCCTCTATGCGTCAATGAAAGTCGCGAGGAAACCCGCAGAGAAAAGAAGAACTATTTGGTGGACAGAAAAAAACCTGCCAGAGCTGTTCTCAGCCTAATTACACACACACTCCTTTCTCTCTCTCTCACTCTCACTCTTTCATTGCGACTTCCTCTGGTTAATCAAACTCATGTAATTCCTTCTTAGACAAATGACACGGAAAAGTCACCAAGAAAGTCCCTTATTTTTTCTCCTCTGCGCCCTAAATGATTAATCACATGCAAATTGGTGTCGCAAACACTCACGATTCTTAATTTATGCACACAACAACAACAATTATGGTGTCACGAAATGCATCAAGAGTTGATTGATGAGGCGAGCAAAAGGATAAGAAAAGGGACGATGAGAGATGTCGTGAGAATTCTCTCTAACAAGGATTAATCTACGTGCGAACTCTACTTGACCCATGCGAACATCTCTCTCTCTCGTTCACTCTATGCAAATTCCTCCCCATCTAATTGTCCAATTCATTCAGATGAGATCACTTTGGCGCCTTTTTGGGGTCAAAACACTGTTAAAACAACGGTGCACCGTGCTGACTCAGGAAGTGTAATTGAAGATATGTTCCTCACACAGAATTTAAATGATCTCTAATCAGTGCCTGCGGATTTTTGCTTTAATTGAGTCTCTCCTTATTCAGCAACACTCCTTGTGTACATTCTGCAGATTTGTCTGAGTGTGGAGAAGCATATGCAGCACCACTTTGTTTTCTCTCCCCCTCTCGATAATCATCATCATTCTCATTGTTATATTATTCAGTTCTTCACGACAAATTTTCTCGTCAACAAACACGTTTCATTCTTCCGTGGAAGTTCATGAAATGTGACCCCCTCTAATTGAGATTTACACCTACAACCGCCACGAACTCCGCAACTTGTTATTCTTCTTTTTTTCTGCTTCGGGGCATAATATAATACCACGGATGGTAGAAGACATTCTGTTTTGAGCAGAGGACACACAGTGATTTTCATTCAAGACATTAACATTGCGCAGAATTTATGTTTGACCAACATAAAGTCCCGCTCCACCCTCTACTCATTGCTTGCGTGGAACGTGCTGTTTGTGCAAAAAGTCGACGAGGGAAGGTTGTACATAAAAGGAAATATACGGCCATTAATTAAGGGACTTCACGTGCTTTTGCCACGGTGGTTGAAGCCAATAATTGATGCAACAAACACTCGCCAGCTATTTTCTTCTCTTTTCGCCTGATGTCGAAGGTGAACGTAATTGTCCTTCCCTGCGCGTGTGTGAGGTAATTTTGACAAGACATTTGTGGCCAAAACCATACATAATACAAGAAGTGATTTTCCAATAAAAACATTGCTTCCAACTCCAACGCCAGCACGAATGTGTGACAGGTATAAAACCTCATACTAAATGACAGTTACATTGAAATTTATAGGAATTCAACGGAAATCGAACGAGCAGCAATCAAATATTCAGCCAATAAGAAGCAAAACAAATTCCACAGAGCCTAAATTTCAATATCATCCCCTCTAAATCTTCTCCCCAGTCGAGGGATCATCATAAAAAATTCATGGGAAATCTAAGCAATAAATATAAAAGCCCTCCCCTGACCGAAAAACCGCCTTACTTTTGCACAAAGATGCGTTAAATTGCGAAATATTTGCATAAATTTGTGTACACACAGAGAGAGAGGGAGAGAGAGACGTGTTAATGTGTCCATAAGCATGTCCAGTCTCTAACCTTAGAAACCCTCACAGAGAGAGAGAAGTGAGGTGATAAATAAAAATCTGGTTCACATTCATTTTCCTTCGGACAATTGTGTGTTATAGTTTTATAATTCGATATGGTTTAGCCCCCTTTCCCAAAACACATTTCCATAATTCGCGACGTATCACCCATCTTTCAAGGCAGCACAATATTAATTTCAATTTTATTTGCGGCTATTGTGGACAATGAATGATCCATATGGAAAGGATATCCATGTCGCGCAGAGTATTTTCGGGGTTCGAACTCGCCGCGCACGGCCCTTTAAATCCTCCTCAGGATTGTAGCCGGACAATGAGGACGAGTGAACTCAATTTGCATTTCTGCAAGACATTCCTCGAGTGCCAAATTGCTTCTCTATTGCCATCGCACAGTGTGATGCCAAGCGAAGGACTCACAAGGAATTCTCCGGGGAAGCCAAATTCTCAAATTCCACACATTCTCACATGGAATGTAAAATATTCGCGAAATTATGCGCGATATTATTTAAACATTGCTAAAATTACAGAAATAGTATTAGTTTTCATTTGAAATTCAATGCAATATTGGCAAAATGGGCAAAACACACGCGAATACCATGAATTCTTGCCTAAGAATTCAACCAATTTATTCGCCTACTTGTCCACCTCTTGGTCATATCGCAACAATGAGAGCTCTTTGGCCTGATTCTTCGGCAATGGGTGATCTTTGAGAGACCCTCGTCTCTCCTTCACGTGAATTTGCCCCCTCGACAGCATGCCTATATATATATATTGCTAATTTTTCCCTCTCGCATATCGACATTGTTATTGTCCATTGTTGGCCATCCTCCAGAGGCAGCACCGCGCACAATGCCTTTTCACCAGACTGGTTTCAGAGCCACGCATCTTCTCTTATGTACTCACATAAAATTGCATGAGTATCACTCATTTTCTGCAAGATCTCTGCGAGATTCGAGGATCTCAGAAACAGCGAGACAACCAAATTCCAATGGGACACATTTCCGAGAGAAGACTGACCAGAAGATTGGCGCCCTTCTCACAATATCCTCTCGATATTGACACACACACGAAACATTGCAGAGGTTTTATGTGAATTTGAGCATGAGAAATCCTTTTGTTCGAATCCTCTTCCTAAATCACAATCTCTCACTCTCTTTCTCTCAATCTCCCGTTGCATTTGCAGAAAATTTATTAAACGACCTTCTTCCGCTTTTCAACTTTCGCCTCTTCAGCAGACAAAACTTCGTCATTTATGACTGCAAAATGTATATTTCATAAATTTGCCGTGCAACAATAAATTTACACTCTTTGCAACATCATTTACTTTCGGCTAGAAGAGGTGAGAGAGAAAAGAGGAAGGAAAATAGCTTCCCAAACTCATACTTATATATTGTTTTCACTGTCGATTTCCTCAATGCAATTTGCCATTTTTTTCTTCTTCTCCTCTCATACTCTTACCAAACAAGTCTCAGCTCGCCAAAGAAGAGTTGTAACAAATCAAAGCAATTTCACTTTTCTTCCATCGTGTGTGGGTGTTAATTGACAGTGCGATTCTCTGGGGCCGAAAAAACAGAACTGGAAGTTGTATATCAGTTTGCCCAAAAGGCAAAAACAACACCCAAAACACGTCCCTCATCTTCCCTCACGCATACTCTCCGATTTTTTTTTCTTTTACGAGCGCCATTGGTTACGCAAGGAGCCATTTGTTGCGGAACATAAAAATTATTAGTGACGGTCAGCTGATTTTCCAACATTTGAGAGAAGCCAACGCATCAAAAAACCACACACGACAGATGATTCTCGCTGACAACATCATTCACTCTTCCAGCGTCCAGACGGAAAAGAACTGACATGCGGGAATGCCTTGAAAAGGCGGTGGGGGAATTAATCAGTTCATAATTGCAAATTCAATTGCCATTCTCACTGTGATAGACATCAGACAAAATGTTTGGACATTCGCTTAATCACTAAAACAGTGCGAACAATTATTGCCAAGTCACTGTTGAAAATCGTAATTGCTTTGTTTGCGATTCTAATTTTCATTGCTATTCTGTGGTTTTTGTCCACATTTCAACATAACAACATTTATTGTGGAGAAATAATTATACTTATTGTACACAACGAGAAATATATTCAATATATCCCACGAAAAATTGCCTATACAAATTTCAGTTAATACAGAATCCCAATAAAATATCCTCTTTGCCTTATTGCTTCTATAATTTTCATTCCCTCATTCGCTGCACAAGCTTAATATATCCTCTTGTTTGTATCCTCGTATGGCAAAAAATTTCGAGGACATGAACAATAAAGCTGCATTAAAATTCGCTCGATGCGCAAAAGCTTTTGGCACGCATCCAAAAGGATTTTCACTTCTCTCGGAACAGCAAAATGACAACTAATCTTCACAAAAGATTGAGCAAAAGAAAATTCTTTCACGCGAAATTGTCCAAAAGCTCTCACTTAATCTCCCATTCAATATTCAGTCAAATTCAATATTCAAATGTGTGGATTTATTGTGCTATTCTCCACCATAAGCAAATTGCATTGGATGAGATTTTCAATGGCGGGAAGTGATTTTGGTGGCACAATTTCTCAATTATCGCCTCATTGTGTATGTCTTTTTGCTCAATTTGTTACCATTTCGGGTCAGACTATTTGGGATTCCACATTTGGTAATGCTGTTTACTTAACAGTGAACGACTGTTTGCGTGGAATTGTAAATTTTGTGTAATATCACCGCCCCAAGAGTGTCAATTACATTCTATGCTATCGTTACACATTTAAGGAGTGAACTTTGAGACACTTCCGGCAATTGCTTGGGCACACAGTCTTGCAGACAGTCTCTCTCTCGCTCTCCTTGGTGGGAAGAGGATGAGCGGAGTGAGAGATAGGAATACCAGAAATGGTCACGGCGGCTCTATTTTGGGTCATTGCTCCTCTTTGCCTCGGCACAACATACACGAAAATATACCTTCACCACATATGTAATGCTCAACATTGCTGGCTCATAAGTATTTTAGCCCATTCTGTATTGTTTCCATCGCTATCTCAATATCAATATCTCCGCTCAAGCTCGCTCAATGCCCACGGTTTGTTCACCCTCAGCAACTTTGACTGTTGCTGTTTAACTAAGATTTATCCCAAAGGAAAGCCCCAAAAACAATCAGTGGGAATATTTGCCTTTCTCACTCTCATTTTCACTGCCAATTGTTATCAACTACCAACACTCGAATGCAATTAACAGACTGATGATGATGAATAGATGGGAAAAAGCCACCCAAAATTCCCACATAAATCATACCAGACTTTCGTTTTTCACGTTCAGACGCCACCAGTGATTTCGTCCTCTTCACACGCAGCGACCTTCGTCGAATGGACCTGAGAAAAGTCTCCGGCATGCGAGAAAATCGCGGTGTTTCCGGCGCCTTCCGCTCGGGCAAAAAGAAATTCTTCACAGCCAGCATCTTATGAACTTCCACACACCGCGAGAGAGAGTAAGAGATATTCAACAAGTCACGGAGAAGTTTATCATATCGTGGAGATTAACACTGTTTAACTGGAGTTTGTGTTCCTTCTCAAGCACACACAGAAAACACACTCGTTCTCTCACTCTCTAATGCGTGATAAGATTTTCTGACTCTTCGAGAAAGTCTCGAGACCAAAATTCTATAGTTTTCAGTTCACCACGATGACAATAATTGTTATTTTTAGGTAAATTGCACACACACTTCGCGGAAATGTCGACGTTGAATTTCAACCATGTGTGAATCACAGTTTATGTGGGAGAAATTTCACACTTGCAAGTTGTCTTCTGCTCAGCAACGACTTAATTAACCACTGATCTGGTCTTTTAGTGCTCCAAAATCAATCCACCCACACGAGACAGCCCGTTTTCACGCAGAACGCGTTCCCGCCATCGAAAGCGGTCCGACACTGACTGACTGTTGAAACCCAACTGGTGAGCTTCGCGCCGAGAGAGGTTCCCAACTCGCAAGAAATCCAAGCCAATTGTCGTGTACCTTCTCGCTCTCACTCTCACCCATTCCGGCTCTTTTCGCCGCTTTCCTCAATCCTCTTGCCATACGCTCTCGATATTGTGATGTACGGTGCATATGAGGCTCAACGAGGGCCAAACATATCCCCATGCTGTTCGTCTTGGCAGGCATTTTCACTCACAAACTCTATATATTGCAGTATGCAATTCACTGTGCGGTTTTTCACTCTGACCTTCCTGCAACATATAGTTTATTCATAAGGTTGAAAGTTTCAGGCTCTTTCGTCAGCCACATGAAGACAAGCTAGAGAATTGATTGGGTTAGAAATAGAACACCTAAAAAAGCGCATGATTAGTGTAAAGTCAGTAAGTTTGACAGCTTTTATCACTTAATCCCTCAATGTTTTCCTCCATTTCAATACACGCTTTAACTTTCAAGCCTAAATCTCAGAGAAGCATTCATACTCTTTCAATTCCTCAGTGGATATAATGCAAGAAGACGTGGAATTAGCCGAAAAGTCATCCATTGAAGGTAAACTGTTGGGCTTCACCACACTCAAATGGATTTCATTCTTACTATTTGTACTTCTTATGAATTTTAATACATCACACACTTTCTGTCGAGTCACACCAAATGCTACAAAAACTCAAGCACACCAAAAGCCCTCCTCAACTTTATATCAAGAGTTGTTTCAAACTTGCCCAAAATGTTTCCTGTACAATTCGCCATGAACACCCACAGCGCGAGTCTGGCTGAGTATATATTTGAGAAAAGGGCCATATTGAGTGCAGAATAATTAATTTGTTGTTCTCGCTTCTGAGTCGCGGGTGACACAGTGATTGAATTCCCGTGGGAGGAAACTCTGCGTGGCACGACAGTCTCTCTAACGCTTCATCAATGTCTCTCTCTGGCCGCTCACATTCATCATGAAGCGTGCAACAAGGTGCAAGAGTGGGTTTAATCAACTTCTCAACCTTTTCCCCTGTCTTTTGCTCATTTACTCACGCAGGAGGAAAAAAAAAACACACCGCCAGTCAATTAAAATTCGTGTCATGGCACTTTTATTTTCCGGCAACTCCGCACAGCCACTTAACCCTCCGGTGAGGCATGAATTTTCGACCAGTTTCACCATCTGCAAATCAATATTGGACGATTGGGAAATGCCATTGTCAGAGTGGCACAGACTCTCAAGCATCACCCCAAAGCCTTCACTCTCGTGTGCAAATAGCTAAAGAGTGCCAAAGACACTTTCATTAGAGAGAAATTAAGCAAATGTTTGGGCAAATGCTTTAGAGCGACAGAGAGAAGAAATTGAGACTCCTCAAGTAAAGGGTTAAAGCCACTTGAAGAGACACTCAAGACGCACCCTCAGAAGAGTCGCAATAAAAGAAATTCAATATTTTTTCCTATGTCATCCTCCTCGATATTATGCTTTTGATTGCGGAAGGAAATTAAAATGTGCTCAAAGAAACATATTTTTTTTGGGCACCGCTTATATTCATAAAATTTTTACACACAACAATGACTCTGAGCCTCACATTCAGCCGGCAAAAAGGATCACTTTTCCATTTCTTGACTCCGCTCAATGGAGTCTCTTTTCTGTCTGGCAGTGAAAAGAAACTGTACTCCGTCATCTTCTGGGTGCCTTGAAAAGGATCTCATTTAATGTACAATTGTATGACATGCGGTTTTATATGAAATGATGAACAACACGAGTTTTGGTAATTTAAGAGAACGAGCGCGCTCTTATGACAGTCACATGCTTATTTTCCTCCCTGAGAGTCGATAAGGAAATGGATCCCTTTTCACATTTCTTCATCTTTCGCGCTCTCTCTCTCTCTGTCTCCTTCCCTCATTCGATATGAAATTTTATCCGTTTGCCTTGCGATTTTTTTTCTGGCAAAATGACAGAGGAAGAGAAAAAAAATCTAACAATATCAATTTGCATTTGCAATTTTTAGAGAATATCAAACATTACTTCTGTAACAGAAATTTACATAAATAACGCCATCTCACAAATTGTCTATGAATTCCCTCTCTCTCTCTCTAGAGCATAAATTACAAATTAGCCCAGAAAGAAGTCAGGCAATTTCATACCCCATTTCGTGCTCAAAAGGAGGCCCGAAATGCATTTTTATTGTCGCACCGGCATCTTCAACTTCAATTAATACCACATGACTGAGTGGTGCAGATAAAAATCTCACTTTCACAGTGGCAAATCAAACCCCTTTCTTCCCATATCCGCCTCTATCGAAGGGTGATCAATTTCACTGCGAGACACACACACCCCAGATTTGTGTATTTCTCCAGTCCACCATAAATCATGGGAAAGTTACCGGAGTAAAGCCGAAAACTGTCTCAGGAAATCTGGTGCAAAATGCACAACTTCAATATCTTATGATAATATCCCTTTTAATCAATTTGACACACTCGAATAGTGATAGAAAATTGCATGAATTTATGATCACAATGGTTTAACATACAAATTGCATCATTTATTTACTCGGGGAAAATCTTGATTTCCCAGCAGAAAAAAAACAGACACACACACACAAATACACAAATAAAACGCCGAGGTAGAAAGTCTATTCACCTTTGGAGAAAGATTGCGACATTTTGCTTAGGATATCAGAAAAATTTGCAAAAAGCAAAGTTGTGCAGAAAAAAAAAACACATCGTGCCTCAGATCAATGATTAAGTCATATTTCACCATGCCGACTCTTCCTCTTTGACAAATAACACTGTGAAATAGGAGATTTTTGCCGCATGGAAACACGTGTTGAAGAGAAAGTCAGCAGGAGGGATTTTATTTCCATTAATTGCACACATAAAGTCAAACACGATGGAGTTACAGAGAATGATTGATTATTGTTCGCCCATATATATAACTATTGAGAGATTCCATGGGGTGTTGAGGGTGATTAATTTGGCACAAAAATCCCTCTTGTAATTTTTGTATGCCTCAATTGTTCACCCACAAGGCACCCAGAGTTGCCCAGGGAAATCAATTTGTGTACTCTCCTCGAAACATCACATCAACGTTAATGATGTCCAGCACAGCATGAACTCTCTTCACGTCCGTCCAAAGCCTTCCCTAATGGATTGAAATGGAATTAAAGAGAGACATTCGACATCAGCAAAATTCATTATGCAAAATTCACCCCTTTTCCAGGGTTAGCAAGCCAAAAGGTAAAAAAAATTGTGTCCACCAAATGTCCTTCACTGAAGAGTGTTATATTTCGAAAGAAAAATATTTACTCTCCAAATGGTGAAAAGACAACAACTATTTTCAAAACGATAAAGTGTCCAAATAGAATTCTCTTTCAATCACCTCTCTTGTGTACTCGCGCGCATTTTTGCTCGTGCTCTCCGAAGTTTCAGCAAGAATATTGGAGTTTATTTAATGTGCGGAATGTGAAATAAAATGTACGCAATTCATGAGCATTTTTTTTCTTCTCCTTCTTCTGCTATATCCAACTGAAAACATTCCACCTGAGTACATAAAACTCATAAAACTGTCTATATAGACAAAGTTTCATATTTAGAGATGAGAGAATTGAGAGCAGAATTTTCAAAATAATTACATAAATATCAATTCATCACATCTCCAAAGTTAATCTCACTGAAAGTGAAACATTTTTCCCTCACAATTTGACTCATATTCTCCACTTTATTGCAAAAACTAAACACGAGCGACAGATGCAATTTTACGTTCACTTTTTCCGTGACATTTTTACATCCACTGTTAAACTTCTTATCTGCCATAAACGGACGTTTTATGTGCTGCAGAAAGTGTGACTTTTCAATGGGCGAAATGGTGCACGTTTTACCGAGTTTCCATCGCACACATGCAATGTCATTCAACCGTGCAACGCGCGCTTGACCCAAAAGTCACACGGAAAAAATACCAAATTATTAATATTTTGTCTGGTGAAAATTCACCTCTTCATTTTTCATGAGTTTCCCCAACATTGTGTGTCGATGCCAATGTCAATTATTTTCTCCATTACTGTGTGGAAAATAAACTGCCAAACTCAAATTGACTTGCACACACAGGGAGGTTAAATATGGCATTATAATTAGTTCAATTAATTTAATCATCCCTTCGGCACTGCCAACAGTTGCTATGAATAATTTTCACTTGTGCTCCACAATTTTTCGTGATGTCTGTCTCGTGCGTTCATTTCTTTGTTCAGTTGTCCACAATTAACTGGGGAATAGCATTCTTAAGTTTATGCAAAATTCAATTTAACCATTCATATTGCAATTTCTCGGCGAATAATAATTTTTGCAAATGCAAAATGGGAACACAGTTGAAAGTACAAACAACCCGTCACATTTATCAGTTACAAGACTTTATTGGCTAAAATGATATATATGGACAATAGAGCAGTCATCAGAAGGCTATAATTTGTCCGAGATGAGATTAGACGAGTTGCACTCATGATCTCAGAACGCCCATTCAATTCTTTTCAACCAACTCTTGAGAGATGCATTTTCCATTCATTAGTGGAACAATACAGGCTGATTCTCTTTCTCTATACATCACTATTGTAATTTTGAGGAGGAGATTAGACATCCCATGATCACAATTCATGAATAAGTTTGATATTTTCAGTGAGATGATTCCTCTCCAGATTCTCCTCTTTCTCTGACATCATTTTCCTCTGCGGCAGCGGCACTCATCATTTGGGAAACAACCCGAAAATCAACAAAAATTACTCACAGAATTATTATTGAGCAGTGGTGAAGTGAGAAGTGTGGGTTGATCGGTGAGTTTATGAATGAAAATTCAGTCACTCAATTTGCATTCAGACACACACAAGTGAATATTTATAGATTTATACAACTCAGAAATCTGACTCATCCAGTCGACTTGTCTCTGAAAATCGATAGCACTATTCAATGAGATAATCACCCTCGTTGCTGAGCGTGTGCCGGCAAGGACAGAAAAGTCACCCT